AAATAATTAATGATATCAAAGATCAGATGTCCATTTTTTTATGTCTTTAAATAAATGGTCAATTTGCTTTAAAAGCCGGGGGCTCCCGTAACCTCCTCTACKCCCCGTTCTGAATGATAAYGTACTTCATTAATGTCCATAAAAGGAGAGCCGACTTCCGTGTGGGGAATATAAGTATTGCATATTACGCGTTGCTCGTATGTTAAAGAACCATTATAGCTGAGAGCTCGGGAGCTCAACACTAGAAATGGCCCTACCGCATAATGACGTCACATCAAATAATCAGACCAGCGACCACGGCATCATCGCAAACACTATGCGACGTCATTAGATATACTAGTTGACACTTCATTGTAATTTCTTGGAATAGCGTCAAGAAGTCTCTCTTTTCTTGGGCAGCTGTCGAACTGSCGTGTATTTCAGCGCACTACTTCTGGACTTACTAGTACCGGTATTGCTGTGGTGCTACATATGGGATACGTCATAGGTGTGTAAAACGACACCACAGGAAAAACGGCCCAAGATTCTTGTCATGTCTGTAAACTAACTACAACATATAATTCACAGTACTTCAAAGATTATGGTTTTATAGCAGTAGGCAAAGAAAATTYAGGCAATGACCAAKCTATYCCTCATATTTATCATCGCTCTGACATTGAATCAATGTCAAGCTTGGCCATATTCTCGGCAAAAAACATCATCTTCGGCATATAACAATCGAGACGCTGTACTTCTGAGGACGCTTTACGACATTCTGAGTAAGTTTGTATATCATTTGTTCATTTTAATGCTGACTCTAAGAGGTATGAGTACTATTTCATAAGAAAGACAGACTCCAGTTTGTCAGTGAAGTAGAAGTATTTATAGCAGTACAAATTAGAAAGCATTTTACGATGTCCTGCAAGTGATGTTTACACAAATTTGACTTCTTCCTATATCTATAGTCTGTTTCAATAATTTAAAACAGTGTAAAAAGTAAGTATAATACAAATCTTTCTAGTTGGATTTCTTCGTTTATTTTATTACGATTCTTTCAGTTCAGGTTATGGTCGTTTCATGTAATTATGATAATGTATGATAATGAGCTTTGCGCCTCCATAACGTGTTCAACCCACTGCATACATAAATTCGCCCGCGCTTTGGTTAAGAACTAGACGTACAAATTACTCAATTYTGTTGTACGTAAATCTAAATCAAATTATTCGTTCACTATCTTAAGTTAATATTCTTACGTAGAAATTGTCGGCTGCTTACCCCCCGAATTTTATAAATCTGGAGAAATTGCCACGATGTGAATGACGTCATTTACAAGGTCACATTCTGTTTCAACCAATGGGAATAGACATTGCATAACCAGTTGATATATTTTTCATGTGCGCGCATACGTATGCAAGTTGAAAATATGGTACCGTATCGAAAGATCGAGGAAACACGACATAATTCATTGAATCATTGAAGGTTTTCGTCGAAGAAATGGTTAGTAATTAATATCATTCTATGAAAATATCGTGCTATCCCGGAGATTTAGGGCTAAAATCTTGAGACCGGGAGATTCGATCTGAAACCGGGAGCCTCCCGGCAAATCCTGGGCACTGTTACACTATGCACAGCTATAAAATTTCAGCAACTTGCAATATTTTTTGGCCGAGGTAAGCTGGGCGCAAGAATCAAGATGGTAGACATTTGAAAGGAAAAATTGCGCATGCTGTAACAGCGTGATGACTCGAATATTGCGTGAAAGGCAGCAGTGGAGAGACTGATGATATATACTGTACAATGGCGTTGCAAGTTCCAACGCTACTCGAAACGAAAAAAGTTGCGAGACGACAACTGTTACAGTGAACAATTTTTTTAGTAACTCTTGTTGCAAAGACGTTGCGAGAAAAGCTGCCGAAAACATTGCACAATGTAACAGTATCTTATATATTGAACGAATGATTTATCCTTGAGAAACCGCCTATAGTTCTCAGTTTGCGTGTTGGGCTTCCTGTTCCAATAAACACGACAACTGTGTCCATATTAGAAGCTTGCTATATTTTGAATCGGTTCGCAAMGTATTATGGGATATCAATCTCCCTAAGTCGCTACATTCGTAAAAGCACTAGGTAGTTTCGATTTTAACACAGACAACATATATTTGTTTTCCTTTTCGCTAGATCTACCTAGTAAATGACGCTGAATTCTCGATAAAAACTGCACATTTTGCGCGAAAACCTGAACAACCCGAAATAACTCCCTTGTTTGTTTACTTATTTTTTTTCAATATTTCGAAAATAATTGCTGTTTGTGAAAAAGCTATGATTTTCACATTACTTGGTTCCAGAGCCTTCTCTGTGTTTCTCTCTTCTTAAATATATCTCTCTTTTTCATCGAGGTGCGACTCTTTAAGAGAGACATTTTTATTTTTACACAAAGAGAAACCTCTGGAATCAGGGCAACTCTTTAAGGGCTGCAGCAAACATGTTTCCAGATTTACCTCGTTTTGGTTTTAACCGCGAAAAAGGGATTGCAAATCATTACCCTGATTGTTGYGTTTACAGATTTTTACGAACTTCTCGGTTTCAGAGTTCGGATATAACTGGAAAATTTATCAATTAAATAGAATTCCTTAATAAAGCGRAAACKTTTTTGTTGTTTTTATGAAAACTATACGTCAGTGCGTGCGTGCGGCYGGTGTAATTGCGTGKCGAATCACTGATTGACAGCATTGTGTCTAGTAGAGGGTGACCGCTTCAAGAGTTACACTACGTGCGAAAAGGGTTAATGGTTTATATAATGTTTTCATTCTAAAGGATCATCCTCTTTTCGGAACTACATTCATCCAACAACAACCCCCGGTGTTAGGAAAAATCCCCTAAAAATGTTTTTTGGTTGTAGGTTACTGKAGCTGTAGCTGCGGCAACTCTTTAAACTCTTAAAAATCCATGTTTTTTTCCCTCTTCATTTCCTATTGTATCGATTCAAGCCTGTTAAGCATACAAACTTTTTCTTTTCGATCGTAATGTTGATCTTTAATCTTTTAACTCGAAATGGTTTTTGGCTGTGACTTCAAACAAAACTCCAGCTGCTGGATGTTTATTATGGGTTCATTGTTTAAAACACTTTGGGGTTAGGTTTTTATGACAAGTCGGTTTATTCACGTCGCTCGCGGTCCTGTATATGACGTATTGTGCAGTAGAGCTCCCTCTGTGAATTTCATTCAACATAGAATGCTTTAGTTTACGGACAGGATATCATAAATAATTTGCGCAATAGTATGCATATCATTGCTGAAAATGGCGAATGAAATTTTACACTTGGGATATTCAAGACATGGAAATATCGCTCAAAAATATATCACCTTTTTGACATGTTCTTGATCTTTTATTTTCTTACAAAATGATGGGAAATGATAATTAAGTATTTTAAATAAAATTCGATAGACTGTATGCTATAGTGTCTATGAAAAGTGAAACATGTCAATTTGRAATGACATTACCACAAGCTCTTCAGAGAAATAAATTTTAATAATTATGACTTTTCGAATATACCTTTTTAGTGATTGAGAAGTAGATTTACATTAATATATGTTAAATATAGAGGATATTACTTGGGCGCGCGGACGCTCACTTGTATATAAAGAGATCATTTGTTCATCCCTTCAGTTCAGAATGGCAGTAAAGTTGTTCCCCCCAAAAATTATTATTTTTCTCAAAGAATTKTTTTTTCTATTTGACCAATTTGACATAACTTGAATGAAGTGCGAAATAAAATATACCTTGTATTGTGCGTGTGTTATTTCGAGAACTTTTTGACATCTAATTGAATTATACTCCCTCGCCTTGTCATATACGCATAAATACGAATATTTTTTCTTTTGTTTGCGTCCAAGAAGCCTTCTCATACGGAAAATTCGTATTGTTTTTGACCGGAGGTTCGCCTAGGGGAACTTTTAAACTTCTAGTCCACTTGTAAACCAAAGTAGCAAGGTTTTCGGTTCTCGTATATGAAAGGGAAAGTACACACTTGTCATACACTTTGYATTCGGATTCCCTGTCCAATAAAATGTTGCTACGTTACAAAGTCAAATTAACGTAAGACAACGTAAGACGAACATGACTTTGTTATGCAAATCAGCCACAAATGACTATTAACATAGCAAGATCAAGGAATTTACAAATTCATAACGGGGTGGCTTCGAGGTTGGTTTAGTCGGGGATGAAGTCTCCCGCACGAATTATTTAACATTTTAGAGTTGACTCGCCACAAGGGATGACAAGTCAGAAGTTTAAAATATCAACATTTTGGTTGTGTTTTTGGGGTATAATAGCGATAGGATTGAGCGAGCAGTATGTCTTGAACAGAGCTAAAGGTACAGAGATCAAACATTACGTTGGATTTGAGGCATTATTCGTGTTATGACATTTCAAAGTGTTATCGTTATATTTCCTTATACTTTTTATCATAGGGCATGGAGTATTTGAAGATCAATCTTACAATGATCCCATAGGAGAATTTACAGGTATTCTGCCTCTCAGTGTATTTGGGAATGTAAAACGTTCTATAGAGTTTAGTAATAACTCAGTTGACTTAGCGCTACAAATCACCAAACGAAAACCACTCTCATTCGGACTGTTGTCCTTTATATATATATTAGTGGAACTAGTTTCAATTTTCGGAAGGGACTTGATATTCCAATAGTAACCAAATACAAACATAGCAGCGTCATATGAACTCAGAACCAACAAGATATTTTTCATGTTTGTGGGTTTTGAGTAAACCGTTTCAAGTAAAAAAAGCGCTTCGTCACTGTTCCGTAAAACCATATAACAGCTGAATGTATTCARTGATAGAACGTTGGCTGTAATTAAGACTTCGTCCTCGTTGTGCTAGTGTCGCTTTCAATGGCAACAGGAAATTACATCCAAAATATTTTTAGGGAAGAAACCAATGTTGCCATAGCCTTCGAGCAACGGCCGTTCAACAASCAAAAACAAGCTTGTGAATTAATTATTTAAAAATAAATCTATTATTTTGGTTGAGTAAAGTTCTTGTGCCATGTAAATATACTGCTAATATAGCTGATAGTACCTGCACAAGCTGAAGTAATATTGTACTAATTGTAGACGGAAGATTTTACTCTTAATGCAATCCTGTCCATGTATCTCATCTTCGATAATAATGATTACATTTCGTATTCAAACTGTTAGTGCCAGTCAAAAAGTGGGCATTTTCTATTTAACACTCTAAAGCTTATCTGGAATTATTCGCGCAATACAGCAAAGAATCRTTCGTTTAAAATTTAATAACTGTCRAATAATCCTTAATYATTATAAAYGTTCAAACCCAAAAGACATAAGTTAGACTGACATACATCAGTTAATACATCCTTCCATTAAAAACAGGTTTTCAATCATGAAAAAAGACACAAAATGTCTGACAAAAAATCAAGAAATTGTGTGTGTTTTGCGCGTTTCAAAACGCCAACAACTATCACGTTTACTCAGTGTTTTATTCAAGAGTGGGTGGATTTTATTATATTGACGTATATCCCAAAACTTAATGSGGGSGGACTTTTTCTTTTMCATTTTCCAAAATTGCCTGTTATAGAATTTCTAGACAAAATGTTTTTATTCAAAGAACTCTAAAATGGAGACGAAACGATCGATCATATCTSGGAGTATATATGAGCGAAACGGTTTGATGATTATGCCCATATATTAAAATAATTAGCGAGACKTAATTGAGGTCATCCTAACGCGGTGATATAAAATACCAAAACGAGTCTTAAAAAATGAAAATGTAGGAAAAATGAAAATGAATCACCTGTGTTGAGATTAATGTATGAACAAGCATATTTCTCCCCTCCGGCGTTGAGTCTATATCTCAAAAATCAAGATTTTACTTATAAAGCTGGAAGCGAAACAATACCACGAGAAAGTGAAAATTAAAATGAAATAAACATAACGCTTCAACCTCCAGTATTCTTGGSGATGTCGAACTTGTATAATTTCATTAATCGTAGGAATTGTAGCCAAATTGTCTTCGTTTCTTTCGTTTCTAACGATTTAAAATTGAAGAAGCCAAAAATTTACTATATTTTTCCTAATGGTCACGGGAAACTGCTAAAAATATTATGAAGGACTAAAATAATGTGGAATCTATTGTCTTGGTTTGTTTTTAAATCGTTTGAAGCRAAGATACTTTGACTAAATCCCTCGTTAGGGAGATTTCTTTTATTTCGCTAATATCTGTGGTCTGAAGGTGTTAGGGCTTTAATGAATTGAATACAACTGCACGGTGTTTCCAATTAACACTTCCCATCTTATTCCATTCTCATTTGATTCACACTTTAAAAGATTATTCCTTTTTTCTCAAAGTGTAATATTCGCTCCTTCTAAAAGTGTATATTACGTAGACTGTCGTTTCTCGTTTTGTCAATCTTATATTTTTCTTTTATATYATTAGTTTGCTTGTCTGACTTAATAAAGCTAAATGAACAGATTTTTAATTAAAATATACGGCAAGAATTTTTATAATAAAGTCAAAAACTTCGTTCTAATTAAAAAGGAAAACATAATTTGAAGTGAAGGAAAGAGTGAGCCAACGCATTTTTTATTCATTTTATCTTTCTAGGATCCAGCTGGATTTGCGTTTACCAATTATTAGCATGATAGATCTCATCAACGTTTTAAGCCTATAATATTTTCAGTTGTAGTTTTTTTTGGTTTCTTGGTTCTTTGGCCACTAGAGCAAGTTGAGAAATATCTGTCAATGAGATGCGCTGTGAAGTATACATAATTTGCCTGGGTCTGAGGTTTTTTCCGCTTCTCCCCATTAGGGCAAACTTTAATAAGAAGTGCTAAATCAATACAGCGACGCTAGTGCCGCTACCCGCTCTAAACCTTATTATTAAACATCTCTTTTAGACAAAACAGACTCAAATACAGCCTGAAATGTTAAGGCGTTGTAATTACAAATGTAAAAATCTGTCTAGAGATAAAGAAATTCTCAAAAACGACTCCCAGATAAGGAGCMGTAATGAAAATTGACAAACGGAAATCATGATAAAATAAAGAAAATTACGGGAGATAATTTTTCGACCAGCAAATCGGTTATGATAGTGATTAAGAGGCTGAAATTTCACGAGTTTAGTTCCAAACTAAACAATACGTTTCGTTATGTGTCTAAACATCCTATGGAATATTATCGGTGTTAGAACCGTGAAACCATTTTCATCAGTAGATTGTAAAACAAGCATTTGAGCGTTTCTTCCCGCGGCTGATTTTCAAATCGCCTTAAAAATCGCTTCTGATAATCCCTTAAAATGTTTTCGTGAAGTCATTTTGACTTCAACGTGGGATTTCTTGATTGTATATTGTTTAATTTAATAATAAAACATTTTTTTATAAAGACTACGAAATGTTAGGATGGATAACGAAATCTTATCGTTATAAAAGGAATTTCCGATCCAAAAAAATCTCGGATTAACACAATATATGTAGTAGTGACTAAGAGAGTGGAATAATAAGGTCGATTTATAAAGGCGGTTTTCTTGGAATTATGTTTTCATGCAGATATGAACTTGGCAGGGGATTTTTATTGAGGAAAACAATAGTGATGAATAGAGATGAAGAAAAACGAGCATTCTCATCCCACCTGCACCGCGGCAAAGCACTTCAAAGCACATTCTCATCATGAATGATATGAAACCTAGCTCTTTTCATGAAAATAGCAGTCCCATTTCCTCATTAGATTTCTCAAAAAGTAAAGAGCATTTTTGACAGGGCAACTCATTAGTAAAATCCGCGCGTGTGGGCGCCGTTATTTGAAGCTCTGAGTAGCGAAGACAAACCAACCATCCATTGGTATAGTGTATATGGTGTAAATCTAAACAAGGAAGACACTTTCTTTTTGCAATGACACGATTAATTATCTTCTTTTCTTTGAGATCCTGTTTGTCTTTTGTAAGTAATTGGAGTGACRGCACCTGCTAATCGAATTTGTTCTCAAAAAATAGTAGGTTCCCACKTTTTCCTTTTTCTGTTTATCGAGAGCTAAGTACTGGGAAATTAATTAGGTCTTTCATTCATTTATTTTCTTGTTTTTTTTTTTTTTTGCAAATATTCGTTCATTCATTCGTATAGTTGCTTTTCTTCATCCATTCCATTCTCTTTCCATCCATTCATCAGTACTACATCGAGATATAATCATTTATCCCGCGTCCTTCATACTTAAAATCATTCTTTCCGTTTATTTCTTTCGTCAATAAATTTTCGTTATTTTTATTCATTTGTTCATTTGTTCTCACTTTTTTATTTTTTCTCACTTTTTTTATATTTCTTTTATTTGAGGCCTCTATGTTTTCAATTCKTTTTCTTGAATCGAGCCTCGTTTCTTCCTGTCATTCACAATATCATATGTGTCTCAACACTCCTGTATCTCCTTTTCCTGTTCCGATAGTCGTCACTTTCTAAACGAGAGCAATTTTTAATTGTTCCTTTTTAATTACCTCTTATGCCTACATTCGGCCAYGAGAAAAAAGTAGCACTTTTCACCCTGACAATCTTAYYCCTCAGCCRACCAATATACAAGTACATTTCGTCCTGTGGGTATCGAATAAATTGRTTAAATGCACTTAAATTTATGAGAGCTTTTAGTTTAATTTTTCCTTCAAGAAATCACCTTTAAACAAGACTCTTAGCAAAGACAAGAGTTCACCCGAGGCGTTTCGACTGACGCAGGTCCTCGATATATTGTAAATAGGAAAATATGATACCGTTTACTTTTTCAGGCAAAGTGCTTTTAAACCGTGTCTGATATTTAGTTAAGATTAAGTTATTATTTACCTCTCTAAGTTATTAAAAAAAATTTGTTGCAAAAAATTCTGTTATTATTATTGAAACATRAATAAGAATATAGCAGTGTTCTTGCTGTAATTACTATTATCAAATGTGTTTTTTTAGATTATTAAATAGTATTAGTTTCACAGGTTTTATGTTTCGGTTTGCTTTGCAGTAGCTSCATTTACTAGTATTGGCTTCCTATTTTGAATGGCAGCACTTTAATGGTTTCCTATTGAGAAACCATTAACATGTTGAAATTGTAGAAGACATTTCAAGCAAATACAGCCGATCTTGATACTGGGGCTGTCCACCTGACATAGATATGTAAACTGTTCGAGAAATGTCTATTTCAAGTTGAAAACCGTGTCAAGATCAGCTGCAAAAAGGCGTTAAAACTCAAGACCTCCACTTTACTTTTATAAATTGAATTGCTTGACTTTTTGCAATAAATTCAAGTTGACTCAAGCATATTTTTTTTAACTGCCATTGAAATATATTTATAATATATTTCGAAAATAATGCTTTTTTGACAAGGCAAGACATGATATGTTTGTTTTACAAAAGTGGTTTTTGATGACAATATGGAGTTCTTGTTTTTTTTTATCTCGAGCTAAGATCAGAATTGATTTTCACTTGTTTATATCCGATAACGCATGCTCAGATAAACAATARCAATACTCAACCACAATACATTGCGCGGTGCRCCGAATTTTATATTCTTGAGAGCAAGACGCTCTTCAAACGCTTACTCGTGTCCTCATCTTATTTCTGCTTTCAGATTAYGAACGRAGAACATACGCATATGGGGCATCACGTAATGAAATTAATGATGACGTAAATGATGACGTGTCTGATGACGTGTCTGATGATGAATCTGACGTCAATGAAAATGACAGGAGAATGAAAGAATGGTTTCTTGGCCAGATAGACGAACACCGCAAGGAACTGGCATCAARACCGAAGGAAGGTTGGAAAAATCAATTAAGTATAAACAAATCAAAACCATATAGTAGTTATAAAATGTTCAAAACTTTGCAGTGAACCCTTGAGCTTATTGGTACATTCGAGTTTTGAACATTTTATGAATTCAAGAGTGTGTCAATGAGAGGACATACAATTCAAAACAGTGTGGTGCTCATTTTTGAAAAATTTATAAAATGGTGAATAGAAATTGTCGAGCGGAAAATGCACGAACGAGAGGACCCATGGGTTTTGCTAATTGGTGGTAAATAGTAACTGATTTATATACTGAAAGATAGTCTGTTGTATACATTTGCTCAATTTAGTCATTCTTATGCAAGGTGAACCCAACAAGTGAAAAACAGCGTAACCGCAGTCCCTTTCGGTCTTGCATTCTCGAATGGTCTCTCCTTCGCGTAGCTCCACAACTTCGCCAATAAATTATTGMTATGTTTGTGTTTTAGTCAAGAAAGAGATGAATAAAAAAGGCGAAACGAAAGAAGACATAGAAGCCTTGAAAAGAGAGGAAGAGAAAAATGAAAGAGAGCTAGAAAGCAAGGATAAACGCAGAAATGTTCCTATTCCTGGRCGTAAGTAGAAAGAAAGATGGTGATGTTGTTATTGTTGTTGTTGCTGTTGTTGTTGTTGATGATGACGATGATGATGATGACAATGATGATGAAGTTAACTCAGCTAAACAAGTAAAGCAACAAACCTTTTTGTCGAGATGAGAAAATCTCATTCTTCTTTAGCGCGCTGACAGCTAATACACTTAACACGTATAGCATTATGGACTAGATTAGTGTACAATACTTCTCACAATTTCAGCTATTTCACTTTCTTTGAAATCAATTTTTCAGAGTTGTTCGAAGAAGATATATACATGACACGGCATTTACGCGATCACATCATCGGAGCAGATAATGTTAAAAGGGACGCTTTGAGGTACGAGGAGTACCAATGGCCGAAAGAAGACGATGTAGTCAAAGTACCCTACGAAATCAACGACAACTTTAGTAAGTTTTCTCAGTCATCAAATGATAAAAGCTAACAGATTGTAGAAGGTGGTATAAATCAAACGCCCTAGGGTTGAAGAAAGGGATGAGAACAAGGTGTAGTAGTTTTGATACGCTGAATAAACACAAGTGCAGGTGATTTTAGTAACTTCTATAAGAACTATAACATATCAAAATAAGCTTACAATCTTTTGCAAAATTGWTTGGAACACCGTCTATGATTGTGTTACTGCAGYCTCCCCTCCACTTCTGCAATGTTTTTCGTCAATGAATTGCTATGACATCTCCACCTTGCAGTGGGAAAAGGGGGTAGGATATTCCGTTTATTTTGCATAAGATTGTGGAAAGCTAATTCCATATTGTAATTAGAATAATATCATTCACTAATTTGGTTTTTCTTTAGATTCACTAAAACGAGAAAGACTGAGACAAGCCATTGAAGATTACAACAAGTACACGTGCATTCGTTTTATACCCAAAGAAGAACAACACAAAGATTATSTACATTTTTTCTCAAACCAATCAATGTAAGTTTTTTAAAAATGGTCCCAGTCGAAAAGACTGCTTTTTTATAATTGGTTGGGCTGCCTGTGTGTAAACCATAGTCTATCCATTCTGTATTCTCTGTGAACAACCAATTTGAACTAGTGAATGTCTGCAACGTCTTATRCTTTAGTATTCTTACATCGCTGTTTTGTCGTTCAGGTGTTACTCCAGCGTAGGCAGGCAGGGTGGAAAACAAAAAATATCTATCGGTGATGGCTGTGAGAGAAAAGGGACCGTCATCCATGAGATGTTACATAGTATTGGCTTTATTCACGAACAATCACGWCCCGATAGAGACCAACACGTTGAAGTAGAATGGGAAAATATMAAAGAACGTAAGTCATGGCGTCTAAGATCCGACATTCAGGAAAAACCGTCAAATGACATCACTTTGATGCCTTATAACAAATTTAGAAAACATCTCTTTAACTTAGTTGGCTAGAGAATTCGAAAATATTCTATTTATTATGCATGGTTCAAAAGCATCGGTGAACGCTCAAAAACAGGCATCAAAAACTGTTAATAAAGTTTTTCAGAAATAATAAACTGCAGGCCAGAAGAATAGGCTCTTGTTTCTGCTTCAATTTTTAGCTTCACTATGTTTTACCAATTGCTAGTCGCCATGTTCTTGATCTTGGGAGCTGAGAACGTTACCCATCAAAAGCACTGTCTTCGTTTATACACTACATAAAGACACTCTAGCGTTTTCGTTCTTTATACACTACATAAAATGCATGCGTTCCTCTTCTCATAGTCCTTTCTTTCTTTGCAGGCCTCAAGCACAATTTTCAAAAATACCCAGGTTACCTTGTAACTAACTTAAGTGTTCCATACGACTTTGACGTAAGTATAAATTGTAATYAAACGCGGTTAATCATTTTTCATCCACGARRGTCAACAATKRWRGAASA